AACCCAGGGAACGAGGCGGCCCACCTATATGCTCGAGGATTCGTCAGCCGAGCGGTGGTACCCGCCTCTGATTTGGAAAACCCTGGTGAAGCCTTGACATCCTACCATGACATCACACAATATTACCGTCTTTCGAGGCAGACAAAACCACCCCCGCACCATAAGCTAACTAAGCGCCAGGAGGTTATCTGGCGCCGCTTGCAAACACATTCATTTCCGTGCCCATACATTTATGCACGTATATACCCCGACTCGATTGATCCGCATTGCTCGCATTGTGGCTCAATAGCCACACTTAATCACATTCTCTGGGCCTGCAGGGAAGATCCCCCCTCTCTCGATCTCCTAGCCGCTCCCTCGCCAGAGGGGTGGGAGGCAGTTCTGACCTCCACCAGCCTGGCCGTTCAGCTCCAGGCCGTACAAAGGGCAGAGGAGGTGGCCATCAGGTTCAGCCTGGCGGGTCACCTACCTCCTTAAGTCTGACGACAATAAAGTTGTGTTCTCTCTCTCTCGAATGCAGAAATTTTCGTCCGTCTTTTTGTCTGTCTGTCTGGAACTGGTGTCTGCATTCATACTTTTGAACATAGTTGATCAAAAAGCAAATATTATGTATATCTGAGGTGTAACATCAATACATAAGTATCAGGTGATGTGTTCCTTTACTAGAATATACATAGATATGTAATTCTAAAAGCCTTAGTGTTTCTCAAGCTGCACTGAAAATGTGATACTATGCACGAAAGAAGGTCGGCAGAGACTACTGTCTCTGGCTACATTTACAGCGAGGTACGCAGAAATGCGGCCAATTTTTAAGTCGTCATTTTTTAATGTGAATTGAAAGGCCTTGCTCACAAAAGCTGAAATTGCTCTGGCAAGCTTGACTGTACCCTGAAAAATTAACTACAACATGTTTTAAAATGTAGTTTCACTGTGCCTCAGCATCAAGATAGTATACATTGCAGACCAATTACGACACACTCTTTATGGCTCCCGTTTACCCTCTCATAACACCCCAAGTATACACATACTGCTTATTGTGCAGCCCCTCAAGGTGGAAGGCTGGTTATAATATGGGTGCCAGAAAATCTTTGTGACAAACACAGTAGTGAGCGCGCTTCTAAAACGAAGTGCAGTGGGTGTGCCGCTAGGGAGAGGGCAATGAGGTCGTTAGGGAGGAGGAAGGGATGCTGAGTGAATGAACGAAAGGTGGACTGAAGAAAAAGAAATTGAAAAAGACTGTGGCAGCATGCCACCTGCAGCAAGCCACCTGTAGCTAGGTGACGGAAAAGCCTTTTCGCCGGCATAGCTCTGGCTGCTTGCCACCTGTGCACACTCTGCGTGGCACATGCGATAGCGTCATCATCAGGTGTGCTTTGTGTTTCCTGTGGGAGAAAGTGTCGTCATTATCGTGCTCGCTACAGATATCGTGTTTCCTATCTCGTCCGTAAATTTCAAAAGTTTTATGGCAGTATGATGTGAGCTTTCTCCTTTGCTGCCAGTGCGCGGGCTTGCATAAGCTTGGTGGACTTTTGTCGTCGTCAATCTTCCAGCTGCCAATGCTAAAGTCGTATCACATGCACTGCTCTTGGTTCCATGCTTAAAGGGGCCGAGCAACACTTTTTGAGCATGGTCAGAAAATGCTACTGATCGGTTGTACAGGCTCCCTACAACACGCGAGCAAAATATTGTAGCGCAGCATGCGGCCTGGAATCCACAATAAATTATCAAAGTCAGCAAAAAATTGCTTTCTCTTTTCTCGACAAATCACGTCATAAGCCCAAAAATCCCTCGTAGTAAACCCATCTATTACTCATTGGCTGATTTGAACATGGCACGCTTGGTCGTTACAGAGATCTCCGCGAGAGGCCGTCACTTGTCCACGCTTGCGAGCACGATCGCACTGAAAATTTCAGGCCACGTATCCGAAAAAAAAAAGTGCTCAAGGTCACGACCTGCGTGCGAAGTTTTTTGTTTGCCCCTCCCATCAACAAACACAAAGAAAAATGTCAGGGTGCGAGCAGGGCCCCGCCGCGGTGGTCTAGTGGCTAAGGTACTCGGCTGCTGACCCGCAGGTCGCAGGATCGAATCCAGGCTGCGGCGGCTGCATTTTCGGTGGAGGCGAAAATGCTGTAGGCTCATGTGCTCAGATTTTGGCGCATCTTAAAGAACCCCAGATGGTCGAAATTTTCGGAGTCCTACACTACGGCGCTTCTCATAATCATGTGGTGGTTCTGGGATGTTAAACACCACATATCAGTCGAAGTGGCTTTGAAAAGAGAAAAAGGGAAGAAAAAAGCGCGGTTTTGTTACTGCCTGTCTCAATGGAGGGCACCTCCACAGTTCTGCGCAAGGAATGAGAATTAAAGAGACAAAATGAAGGGCTAAGAGAAGGGTAGTGAAAAGCATTCGATTGCTCGCATCACGCACGTGCGCGTAAGAAACCAAACGCAGCACACGCAATCCACCGAAAGACCGCCGAGAAGCCGGAGGCGAAACAATGCGCTCGAGAAGGGGAAAAAAAAAAACACCGGACTAGTAGAAAGAAGTTAGGGCGCTCCCCGACCAGGAGGGAAGGGGAGAGAGTGTCTGCTCCGACGGGGCAACGCGCCCGTGGGGAGAGGGAGAAAAAGAAAAAAAGCCGTCAGGCAGCTCGGAGCAGTCTACGTAAGCAAAGTCGCGTGGGACTCCGAGGAGGCGTGGCGCTCGGCGATGTAAAGAAACGATGACACATGGGTAACGGGCCTCTTTAAAGGCGCGTAAAAATATCTGCGACGCTGAAAAAGTCCAGTAGCGCATGGAACGCCCGGCGGAGTGTTGCAACATTAGCCGAGGGGAACAAGAGGTGTTCTGGACACACGTGTGGCAGTCCGAGTTGCGCGTAGGCGTTGAAGAGACGGCGACGAATATCAGCGTATCCCGGGCACTGGCACAAGATATCTTGACGGTCTCGTCTGCCGGACACTGCGCGCACGAAGGGCTGCCACTGCCACTCTGTCTGAAGAGTCGGTGCGCGGTTCGGCTGCATCCAGTTCGAAGGCGCAGCAAGAAAGCCCGAGCACGCCGACCAATTCCTGTTGACGGCAGGCGTGCGACAGGATTGCCGGCTGCTGTCATGGCTATGTTATGAATCGCGACTTTGGGATTATGACTATGTCAGGATGTGTTGCAATGGTGAGCACGCAGTTATAGTTCAGACTGTCATCACCAAGACCACATGTCACGACTACTATGTGGTTATGATGGTTCGAATGCGTTTCAGTGATCAGGATCCGTTTATGGTTATGATAGCACCTTTAGCATGACTGTTTACAATTAACATTAAGCAGATGTCAAATTTCTTGTATTGAAGTCTATTAAAAACCAGCGAAATGTTCTGCATTCTTCAGCATATCCACAAATTTGGCTCAACAGGGTTAATTTTATGATGGCTTTTCAACGGTCGGGACACGCTCATGTTTATGATAGAATCTCTTCACCATGACTGTTCACAATTCACTATAAGCAGTTGTCAAATTTTTTGTATTGGAGTCTATAAAAAACCAGCCAAATGTTCTGCATTCTTAGGTATATCCATGAATTTGGCTCAACAAGGTTAATCTTATGATGGCATTTCAACGGTCGGGACACGCTCATGGTTATGATAGCATCATTACCGTGACTGTTTACAATTCCCATTAAGCAAGTTTTTTGTATTGGAGTCTACGAAAAACCAGCCAAACGTTCTCCATTCTTCAGTATACTTAAAATCTGGCTCAACAGGGTAAATCGTTATGATGGCAGTTCCTGATAAAGGCATGCTGATGTTGGGGTCAGACTCGCAGCCACCGCTCAGAAAAGAAAACAAAGGAAAAAATTGGCCCCGTATCCGCATGTAGTCTGCAAATGTCGTCGAAAGAAGATAAGATAGTCTTGCGTGTGGAGAGAGTGAGACATAAGCGCCATCTGGCAGTTATTTTAGAAAACAGAGCGCGTGGCTCTAAGACGGGTGTGCGTGCCCATCTCGGAGATGATAAGGTGTAGAACCCATGGCGACAGGTAGGTGCCACCACTGTCTCGTTTTAGCGAAGCGTTGGAAACAATCGTCTTTCCGTGCAAGCGTTGCATGATCAGCGCACTGTGATAAGCGCTACGGTCCTTAAAATTACTTATGTATGCCTTTTCTAGTAGAAGGCTCACATACAAAATATATATGTGTTGTTATGGTGCCCCAGACATGCGCAATAATTGCTTTTTAATTGACAATTGCACAAGCATGAACGCTCAACCTTGAGCAACATATGTGGGCGCTGCGGATGGCGTCGGCAGTTTCAAGTACACGATGCCGTGAAGAGTGCTAAAACAGACAAATGTTCAGACAGGCAGACCAAAATTTTTGCGTAGAAGGTCCCCAAGAAAGACTGTCGTCTTAAAAAAAAACTGATCCTGTATTTGCGCGCTTCGCTACAAATGTCATTGAAAGATTACAGTCATGTCTGGGAGCACTGCTTGAGATATGAACGCCATCTGGCAATAATGTCGGGAAACGAAAGCTTGTGTAGAACGCAGAGCCACTGGCAGGTGGCATCATCATGCTATCTTAGCGAAGCGTAGGAAAGCATTGGAAACATTCGCTTTTTCATTTATAGCGTCACATTGTCAGCCCAGCATAAGAAACACTACGGTCTTTAGAATTGCATATCTGTGCATTTTCTATTAAAGAAACACACTACCTAATACTTACGTATCAATGTTGCTCCTCAGATATGCGTAATATTTGCTTTTTGATCGACAAAGTTAACAAGGTTAAACGCAGCCACCAGATCAAGATGGCTGGGCATTGAGCAAAAGCTGTAAACTTTCACAGGGTGGCTGAATCGTGCAACAGGCAAACAGAAAGACAGACCAAAATTTGTGTGTTGAAGACCCCCCCCCCTAAAAAGACTATCTTCGTTAAGAACAACAGTAGTGCCCGTGGAAAAGGTGCCCTAACCAATGGTGGACTATTCTTTTCCTTGGTGCAGTGTCCGGTGGAAGATCCTGCTGTCATTCCACTGCCGCAACCGTCTACTCCTCACCGGTACACCGATCCAGAACACCATGGCCGAGGTCAGTAGCTTGTGTTCGCACTTGCAGTGTTGATGGACCCAAGTCGGCCCTGCCCCCCTCCTCCTGTGTACTCAACTGGCCACTGAAGAGGAACAATGATGTGGTTGTGATTGACAAACTGCACTCTAAGAACTCTAACCTTGCAGAATATTTCAGTTTAAGGGAGCAGACTGCTCTTAGACAATTTTTGTTTATTTCTTCAGTGATCTTGATCAAACTGCACAAAATTATGCTGTTTTTTCCTGCTGATTTCAAATGTTTAATTAGTTTTCTGTAACTCATCTTATTCCTGAGATAACTTAAGTTAGCCCCCTATTGTTTAAGGCCCCATAGAAAAAAGAAAGTGATATTTAAAATATCCTAACATAGACTAATGACTATAGATTGAAATAATGCAAAGTTTTTTTTTGTTTTTAAGCCTTTCTTATTATTTTACAGCAAAATGAACTATCCATTTTCAAAAGCAGTTGGAATTGTGTTAAAATTTTGATGAGTAATTAATTAAAAAGGCTTGTTCTCTAAATTCTGCTCCCATACTTGCACCCTACACACATACAGGTGTACACATACACACATACAGGTTACAAAAAGAATTATTGTTGTACCTGCCATAGCTGCAGAGATATTGAGGCCTCAAAATTGAACAGTTGTAAATTTACTTTTTGAGAAAAATTGAAAAAACTGAAAACACACAGCTTCTTCAAAAATCAACAATCATGGTGTGCATGTTTTGCAATCCTCATAAAAGTGCTCATAAATTCGTAGCAGAGCTTCTAACACAGATGCCGGCAAATCATAAAGAGGCATCGTAGTTGGTTCCCCATTTTTTTGCAGGTTCTGCATGTTAACAGCACCAAGAATCTGGACAGTTAGAATGACATTACAAAAAAATTATCACTTCCTGGTGTGTAAAAATTTGCAGAGAGATAGCAAAATACTTACGTCAATTTTAGCAAATGATTTGTTTTGTCACTTTTTGGTCCCAAAGAGCAGTCTGCCCCCTCAACTGTGTCACACGCTAATCCTAAGTCGCGCACAACACACCGCTACGTCTTGCCACTCTCCCCAACCAGGCCGAACTCCCCTCTTTCCCACACACGCAACGCCTACAACTCCCAGTCCCAATGATGTTGATGGTGCCATTATGTAGTGCCCTCTCTCGGCCAAGTCCTGATGATGATGCCGTCACGTAACACCCTCTCTCAGCCACCCTCACAACTGTCTTTCATGCATCTCTACTGCTACGACATGTTCGTTACAGTGTTTTATATGTGAATGCATTTCTTACTCTGGGCATGTCAAGCGTTTATCGGTGTCCGTGCGCCAGCAGGTATTTTCTCCGCTCTCACTCCCTCTCCTATAGCAACAGCTGTGGGCGCGTGCTTATCCTTGCTCCTAGCAACTGGAGCATGTGGTCTGAGAGAGAATAGGAGAGGGTAGATGCTGTGCTTTGCCGCTTCTTCTCTCGCCGTTCATTCTCTCTCCTCCCTGCACCACATTCTTCCGTCTGCTCGCTTGTATGTCTATATATAAATGGAGTGAAGCGCACGCCTCACTCTCGTTTGTTCGCTGGCTGATGTATGTGTAAATAAATGGTTACGGTACAAATCCTCGTCACGTCATTAATTTTTTCAGCTTGAAGTACCGTATTTACTCGATTCTACCACGCCCTCGATTGTAACGCGCACCCAGTTTCCACGGCGGAAAAAAAAAAAAAAGTAAGACATCGATTGCAACGCGCACCCTATTTTTCTCGTTGGCCCACACGATCACACCACTCGGGAAAAAGACTCCTTTCGGGAGCGTCTTCCGTTTAAATATGAGGTACGGGGAAGCTTGTGCCTATCTGACGTGCAACGGAGCGTTGCCGTCACTCTAGTTTTACCGTGGCCCGATGTCAGCACGCGAACTTGCTTTGCCGCCTTCTTCTCGACGGTTGTGGTGCCAGGCATGTCGACATAAAGAGGCGTCTGATCGGCATTCCCGATTTGCCCAAGCAGGGAGCCGTTGTTGTGCCGCCAGTTTAGGACGAACCTCTGAAAACTGAAGCTTTTCTTCGTACTCCTCCCGGCAACTTTTGGCATATGCCCGTTCGCCTTCAGAGGGATAAGCCTTTTTCTCTTCATAAAGTCAGTTAGCCAGCACCTGCTCGCTTTAAACTGGCTCCGCACTAGCCCTTTTTCAAAGGCTAACTGCATAGCCTGCACTTGGAGCAGTTCTGTCGTCACGGGCCGCTGTGCCGCTCACTGCTCAATCACATACTCGCCGAGCAGCTCTTCAATTTGCGGAAACCGACCCTGCTGTGGTTCACTGAAGCCTTTGCGTGAATCTTTGCTGTCGACAATCTTCTGCTTTTGTTTCCGCCAGTCCCGCACGCACGTTTCGGGAACTCCGAACGACCGCGATGCAGCCCGATTTACGTCCGTTTCGGCACACGCGATGACTTTTCGTTTAAAAGCGGCATCGTGATGCACTCGTCGAGTTTTTGGAGTCGGCCCTTCCATGCCGTCGCTACTAATGCACAACAAGATGGCGAACTCCTCAGCACACGTACGAAGTGCCACACATGGGAAATACATAGGCAGAAATGGCCGACGTGCCTTGCCGACGCACGTAGCGGGCGGCCATTTTGGAATGCCGATGGCAATAGAATGACCGTATTCATTTCTTTTTTCGTACTCGATTCTAACAAGCATGTGATTTATGAACTCGCTTAACCGGAAAAAAGGTGCACATTAGATTCGAGTAAAGAAAGGTTAAGCGGCCAGCAAATTTAATGGCTCATGGTTAGTATTAAGTTTCTGTCGTCTGCTAGGCTCAGCAACCTGGGTACAGGTTCAAGACATGGTGGTTGTACTTTGATGAAGCTGAATTACAAAGAAAATGGTGGTGTACTTAGATCTAGGCGGCACTCGTTAGAAGCACCCACGTAGTCAAAATTAATCTCAAGTTGGCCCCACTATAGTGCAGCTCAAAATGTTGCCACTGTTCTAACGCGTCACGACATTACAAGTAAGTTTTTTCTTCGCAGCTGTGGGCCCTGCTCCACTTCATCATGCCGACACTGTTCGACTCGCACGAGGAGTTCAACGAGTGGTTCTCGCGCGACATTGAAAGCCACGCCGAGAACAAGTCCACCATCGACGAGAAGCACCTGTCGCGCCTGCACATGATCCTCAAGCCCTTCATGCTGCGGCGCATCAAGAAGGACGTCGAGAACGAGCTCTCGGACAAGGTCAGTCTCGAGACTGGCGTCGCACGTGCAGTGTCTTGTCGAGCGAGCACAGGTTGCGATGCATGCACTTGGTGCAGTAACGTTTTGGAGTGTGGAAACTACGAGGCAGCAAAACTCCTGATAGCACGAGATTCAGTGGCACCTCACTGGTGTGTTCCTCGCATATTTTTGCCACTTGCGCTCTGTTGTGCTAGTACACTCAAGCCTTGGTGTAATGAACGTAGAAATGAAGTAAATGAATACAATCTTGCAATAGGTCAGTGTTAGTAATATACCTGTATAACGAATTTTCGGATCTAGAAAGCTTATTTTTGTGTAAGATGCAATTTTGTTATATTTAGCTTTTACTGTAACACTCCTGTCTCATTTCAGGCAAGCGCTATCTGTTGGCAGAAAGAGGCACTCAAATTTTAAGCTTCTCTTGGAAACCTAACATCTGAGAGCATTCTTAGGTTTCTCTTCACTCGCTCTTTTTGCATTTTCACCAGAAAAAAACTAGTAGCAGTGAAGTCTTATTGTAAAGCTAACGCCATCACTAAGCTGTTTGTGGTAAATTTTGTTTAACTATATTTTCTTATGTGTTCATTTCGCATATCCATTCCACGCTGATCTTATAATAGTTTCCAATTTTACACAAGCTTTCATTAAGCTTCTGTGGATATTTGCAAAATATTGCTGTCCAATAGTTGCTTAAAACGAATGTCAACAGCTTCTGTATTATTCAAGAAATTCTGCAAAACAACTTTAATCGCAATTTCTTGTTCTAGTGTTGGGAAGAACAGTAAGGCCGTTCACGCCAATACTGGTTCAGCAAAAGTTGAGTTTGTTCAGGTGCCGTTGCCTTTGTCTTTACCGAATCGGGCGCTGCGACCGATGAAGTAGCAGCTGCTCTGGTTTTCCGTCCTTTGCAGATTGAGGTGCAGGTGTACTGCTGGCTGGCGCAGCGCCAGAAGGCCCTCTACCAGGGCCTGCGCAACAAGATCTCCATCGAGGACCTGATGCAGTCGTCGGGCGCCGCCTCGTCGCAGGCCCAGTCGGCCACCTCCTCGCTCATGAACCTCGTCATGCAGTTCCGAAAGGTGCATGAAGTGCTATGCCACATCCAGTGACTCTGTAAATGACTGTGTGCTAGGTCTGCTTTCCTGCTAGGTTTTCTTCTCGGCTCTAGCTGACACATTGTTGTTTGCCTGACCCCCTTTCTCGCTATTTCTTGTCCCCACCCCCATTCTACCAAATGTTACGAATGTATGCAAAAATCTCAAATACAAGAAAAAAAAAATTACCATGGTGACTACAGCACTATAACTGTTTTAAATATCATTATAGTGAGTTGCGACATTGTGCATCGTGCACTTTCGCCAAAAAAAGGACGGTGGCGGGGACACAAAAAGCGAGAGAAGTGGTCGGTAATTAAGAGTTTATGGCTTAAATTAAAAAAAAAGAAAGATGACTTAGAGATTTTCGCAAAATTGTCAGTTGAAAATGGGAAAGAAAAAAAAAAGGAAAATAATTATTGCCGCGTCGACATTCTCTCACGTTAACGGAGGGGTTTCATTCTCGCAGGTCTGCAACCACCCCGACCTGTTCGAGAGGAGAGAGGTCCGCTCGCCATTCCACATGAAGGGCTCCACCTTCGAGCTGTCTCGATTTCTCTTCTCTCGGGGTGAGTTGACGAGACCGAAGCATTGCGCAAGACGCCAGTCGCTAAGGAGTGAATCTAGGCCAAGCCGGTATTATTAAGGAGTGAATCTAGGCCAAGCCGGTATTATTTCACGTACCCGAAGAAGTGTTTGTGTTGTTTGTTCCTTGGTTCCTTTGCACATTGGCCTAATTATAGTGTCACAGGGTTGTGTCAGTGGTGAGAAAGCAGGACACGGTCAGTGAAATCGAGAAGCGTATTGGGCAAAATTGTGCGCCATAAAAGAAAGGCTCGAAGTGCGGTACACATGGGTTGAGCCTCGAAAAAGTCTAGGGCAAAGTGATGCGCTTACTTTTCGTCTCCAGCGAGCATAGTTTGTGGCATTTCGGCAGAATTTTTACTCTGACGCCTTGCGTTGGGGGCAATATCACCATTAGCAGCCAGGCTTGCAGCAACTTGACGCAATTATAATGAGCAATTGCTCACAGCGGTCGGTATACTGAAATGAAACGACTTAGCGTTTCAGCCTATGAGCGCTGTACAAGCACTACAGTAGAACCCAGCAGTTACGTTTATCACTGCTGCATTTTGCCGGCTGTTATGTCGTTTTCCGCTGGTCTTGGCATAGCTCCCGTAGGAGTTTCGGGCACTGCACTGATTTGTCACAGCTGCGGGCCAATTAATGTTAATTTTCGTTCGAATATTCGATGTGCTCAACTATTCACACAAGCTTCTTGAAGAGGCTCAACACATGAAAAATAAAGGTAAAACTCACTGGGACCTTTGTGCATTCACTGAAGCCAATTCAAAGGCTAAAGGCATTTTTTTTTTACACTCAGTTGATGTATTCAAGTGCTGCTGCTAAGAGTCATCTTTACTTTATTTATTATTTTTTTTGAGGTCATGCTCTGTCTGGTTTTGTATGCCACCCAAACACCCAAAGGAGGGCACTACAACGGCATCATGACATCATGTCACACTAGAATTTCTGACGTCATGAGTACATCACGAATTTTTGCAATCTGTGATGGGACGACCTCAGTGTAATGGGACGGTGGCTGTTGTCTGTCATATTTTTGACCAATTTTATGACGACTTATGAAGCATATAAAGGGGTACTGGCTCAAACTTTCGCGGCTGTGACAGCCTGTAGGATAGATTCCCTTGAACATGCATATATCATCTACAAAATATCAACAGCTAATGATAATAAAGTTGAAGTTTGCCAAGTTTGACGACATTGCTTTCCTGTTGCCTGTCTGAAAAAAAAAACTTCTTGATGCAAACCACGTAAAGGTGCATCACAGTTTTGTGCACTGATATGGTCGAGCTTTGCTATGTGGTGATAGTTGCGCCAGGTGGGCTGTTGTTTTTCAAACTGAAAGTGGCACTAGCCGATAATAAGGAGCCTGTAATTAATTTTCTGTCTCGCGCGGACTCGCAGGAACAAATTGCAGCAAAAAAAATAAATAAATACATGAGGCCAAAATGTTTGTGTCAGTACCCCGGCTTTTGACTTAAAGCAGTAGTGTCTTTTGTTCACGTTTGCGACGGTCATTTTCGCAGGCGTCCTGAGTGGCTGGAACGATCACCACAGCCGGTGGTGGCCCAACGTCTTTCACCCGAGCCACGTTCATCACTCTATCTTTAAGCAGGGTGAGTGAGCGGCAGCGTGGAGAGGTGTCTGCAACTTGTGGCAGTGACGTGAAGGTGTCAGGACTAGCTCAACATTTTCTATTTTTTTTTTTTGGCATTTCTTTCATGTTTCTCAGCAGAAGGACGACCCGCAAGCGGCTTCTCGTTCTGCCGGTTCGTCAGCCTTTCCCCCGCGGAACTCGCCAAGGTCATGCTGTGCAGCCTTCTGGAGAGGTGCGTGCTGGGCCACTGCCTTCCTCTTTGTTTGGTTGTTGCTGACTCACCTTTCTATTCATTTGTCTTGTGGTCACTTTATGGCTGCCTCTCGGTCTTGCCTCGCCACTTTCGTTTCGTACTGTGATTTCCAAATGTCAGAGTCTATAACTCTGGGCTGTTGTTGTCATAAAGTACCATTTCATTTTGTTTTCATTGCCAACGATCGAGCAACGACAGTAATCAAGGTGAAAGGTGCGGTAGGTGAGCGTGGAATTGCTCTAAGTCTCTGCATTACATTGTGGCGACAAGTTGCGCAGTCATGTGACAGAACCAGTTTTTAAGGAAAAGTAAACAAAAGTTCATCAATTATGCATTATAATCTAGAGCCAACAATGCAATGTGACAGTGATAAGAAGCAATGACATTGGTTGCACTTGCATAATTAAGTTAGTGGCAGTCTGTATATGTAAATGTCGGTACGGGTGAAGAAGGAGTTATACACGAGCCATTGCGAAATAGTTTGAATGAGTGTTTGCAGAAACTATCAGGTTCCTGTGGACTCCTGGTGAAACCCACGGGTTTATAGATGCTGGTGAGAGCACTTAACACAGGTTCTGTAATGGGATACGGGAAAAAAAAAATAACAAAAACGAAGGAAATCATTGGAAGCGCACCGAGCAGACATGACAGTTCCAGTGTGCTGTGTTTATTTCGCACAGCAGACGAATGTATTTGAGGAAGTGAATGAGTGAAATTGTCTCTATCCGATCTCATTCCCACCTATCTAGAGCGTTACATTGCAGAAACGGGGAAAAAAAAAAAAAGAGACGTAGAAGGACTATTGATCAGGCAGTACCAGCTATACTGAAACCTCAATATGACGAACCCGGATATAACGAAGTAAATGGGGAATAGTCTTGCAGCCGCTGTAGTGTTAGAAATATGCTTTCGTAAGGAATTTTTGGTTGCAACCAAGTTTTTTCAATGAGGTTTGAGTGTAGCACAATCTGGCGCCTGTCCAGGTTTCATCCCCGCCATTGAGTTACAAATGAAAACTTTTGTTTGTACCTGTTCAAGGGCTTGCTAACTACCTGAAAAAAAGAAAGTCAGTAATGTACTTTTTTCACACGGTCCTGCTCAATGTAGACTAGCCTTTCAGCGTCGACAAGTATAGCTCACATTGTGTGCAGTTTCTCGTGGGGAAAAAAAAAAAATGTATCGCAATTTCTGCATGAATTTGTTTTTAGATTAAGCCTTTTTTGCGAATGCTAGATGCGTCGGGAACATTGACATGACCTGCAGGTTTCTAGCCATCGTGAAGGAACTGAAGGAGGCACAGCGGCGGCATCACCGCTACGTATGGCACGGGGACGAGAAGGACTTAAGGTGAGGTTTTCGATCGTCTGTGAAGGAGTAGCGCGGCATAAGAAAATAATAATTTAGATGTGGACATTCCGCTCCATGCAGCGTCCAGACAGTGTTCAGTGTCTTCCGTCTATTTGGGATCTTGTGCCGCAACGCCCCCACCTTGAAGCTGTGGCCGGCGCACGTACTGTAGTCTATAGACGCCAAGCTGCGTACGTAGCGTCTGTAACGGCATTGTGTAGTCGAGAACGCAGCGTTGGAACCACAGTGCAAGAAAAATAATTTACACAGTGCAGGCAACTGTGGTGTTCACTGCACGTGGCGTTTTTGGGTCATGGCAGATGCAGTGTGCGTTTCTGTTGCTAGCGTGCACGGTGCTTTCCAAAGCAAAGGTTTCCGAGCAGGCGATTTGTAAACAGGTGCACGAACGAGCGGAACAACAACAAACTGAAACTGTGGATGGAAATGCGTTGAGATTGTCAACTTCGAAAGCTCTTACTCGGCTACAAAAGGATGCCATATATTGGTTACTCGTGTGTTTATTTGCAGGCTAGGGAAAATTTTTTGAATTTGTTTTTTGTCTTTGCAAAAAACCTGGGCAGGAGACTGCTGATAACATCCATTACATAAGTATATTGTACAAAAAAATAAAATAAAAATTAGTCTATCATATAATGTGCTTTGGTCAATTCAAGCACGTTTTCTTTGGGAGGCATGTATATTTTTTTTTCTGAGCTCCATAAATTCTTTAACTGGTAGTTAATGAAGTTTTAGTTGAAGTCTTCACTGAATATACTACAGGAATGTCTTTATATATTTATCCATCCTCGACATGTAGTTTATGCGTTAAATTAACATTCGGACTGAATGTATAGGAGGGTCTTAAAGGGGATGTATCATTACAGAAGCCCAGTCGACTGCTTTTCCAGTGTAGTCCTCCTATCCAGTCTAGCCCGCAATACTGTAATGGCGGTGGCGTTCTACCCGCGTTTTCGCTTGCTGTAGTTCCGGCGGACGAGTGTGCCCGCAAGACCTGCTCGTGAGCCGGCACGCCCCGCTGGGAGCCGCTTCGCTCGCACAGGGCGGCCCGCTGAGCCGGCTGGTGTTTGCCGCGGACCGGCGTTGTTATGGCTTTGCCGACCAGCGCATCCACGCCATGGCTGAGACGACGGCGCACCGGGAGATGCGGCGGCGCAAGCTTCGCAGCCCTCGCCACACTCACCACCATCACCACCACCACCATCACCACCATCATCACCCCCACGGCGACGGGTTGACTCCGAGTGGCAGTGCGGAGGCGACGGTGCCGGCAACTCCGGTGACGCCGCACCACGCGACACCGTCGACGAGTGCGGAAGCCCAGTCTAAGGTAAGTTTTTGGGAGTAGTAACGAGGATATTTTGGTGGCATGAGTGGCTGGAAAAGACGTTGGAAGCAAAGAGAATTTGGGACCTGTGGGAATAGCGAAGTTCTGGGTTTGAAGCGAATTCGAATGAAGTTCGAGAGCAAATCAAATACTTTGCAAATGTTTTTTTTAAATACAGTCGAACCACTTTTTTTAAATACAGTCGAACCACTTTATAGGAGTCACTGATGTAAGAGAGCAATGGGTATCAGAGACACCAGTGTGTACAGTAAAATGCATACGAGGTACCCTGCTTATGAGAGGCAGCTCAAATAAGACAGAATGGCTGCCTGGAGCATGCCTCTTGTAAAGGGGTTTACTTCAAAATGAAATTGCAAGAAAAGGTTGCAGAGGACCCCTAAGCAGATTCTACATTAAGCTCTAGAAAAATTGAAAGGACATTTGAAAGTGAATAAACCACAATGTGCTTCATTGGAAACAACGAAGCACTTCGCTGTGGCTTCTTACGCATTGGTAGTACCCATCGGCAGTGGACCACTCTTGAAGCAGAGTGGTCCAGCAGCGCACCACTCTGCTTCAGGAGTGGTCGGTCCGCTGCCATTGGGTGTGACATGCAGAAATATGTATGCCACATTCGATATAGTTTGTTGTATCCATATAATTTCTCTCATTAATACAGGTATGAAATGGTTGAAATTGGCTTGACCCCATCCAGTAATCGATTCTTTTTGGGTTCACTATATAAGGATTTGACCATAGTGTTGGCAGTCATTTTCATTTTGGCTCGCTGTCTGTTTTGGTGCTGCTTGACCTAACGAGGGCGCTGTAGGTATAAGTATAAATAAATAAACAAATAAGTAAACAACAAAGGGCGTTACGATCTCTGTGAAACTTTCGGCAGTCTGTTATACCTGAACAGTGCCACTTTGTCTTCCGTTGGGCGTACGTTGGTCAGAAGGGGCACACTACTGAATGCCACATCGACGAAACATGATTCGGGGACTGTAGCTTTCTTGTGTGTACCCTTTCAACAAGTTAGACGGTTGCGGTGGCGTAACGTGGCCGTGCATTTGTATGCTGATGCTATTTCAGAAGCCATCACATCCTCCACATCCTCCGCCAGCGAGTCCTCCGCCGCTGCCAGAGTTCCCGCACCGGCCACGACCGGTTCAGGTTCGGGAGTGCCTTCCTGCAGACCTGCCTAGGTTCCTTGTCTCCTGTGTTGCGCCGCGGGTGAGTTTGTATTTTCTCACAAATCTGGTTGGCATCGTGGGTGTGATCACACGCACACAAAAAAAGAAGTACAAAGACGAGGCCCCAATAGATGGTTGGTAACATGCATTTTGTATAACTGACGCTCTCTCGATTGCAGGCTTTTGATGCCCCGCCGCGGTGGTCTAGTGGCTAAGGTACTCGGCTGCTGACCCGCTGGTCGCGGGTTCGATTCCCGGCTGCGGCGGCTGCATTTCCAATGGAGGCGGAAATGTCATAGGCCCGTGTGCTCAAATTTGGGTGTACGTTAAAGAACCCCAGGTGGTCGAAATTTCCGGAGCCCTCCACTACGGCGTCTCTCATAATCATATGGTGGTTTTGGGATTTTAAGCCCCAAAAATGAAAATGCAGGTTTTTGATAAGACTGTCTCGTCTATTATTGAAGTTATCGAGGTGACTTAACATTTCATGCTCCCACATTTCATTGTTGCCTGGCTAAAATGCATGTCTGTCGTTGCTTGTAGCAACTGCAGTGTCAAGCTGCTAAGCGCATGGAAGACATTTAATTACTGATGTGGGGTAGAAAAGAGATGGAAGAGAGCATCCTGCAATTGGATAGAGAGATGGAAGAGTACTTGAGGCATACACACATCCAGCTTTGCTCGCCCCCATTTCCTCGAAAGGGCGCAGGTTCCCGAGTTGTTAGCTCGGCTGTGTTGCACTGGCACGCATGCCAAATTAAGATTTGCTGTCACCTTCACTCTGACGTTCAATATGAAGGGCACCTAAAGTAACATTTGATTTTTGCATGCAGTAAAATAACGTCCCACTCGCGCTAGCAGCACGGCGGCTCGCCGTCAGCCCTTTGCCATTCTCGGGCTGCCGTGCACGAACGGTCTTTGTCGTTCGGAGAATGGGTCCTAGACCCATTTTCACAACAATCTCGGGCAGCCGCGGAGTGACTGAGGAGCTGCATTGTCGTGTTGCGTTGTCTGCGTCTCCCACGGGACGCTTCAACATGCTTGCTTTTGGCCCCCATGGTTTTTCACACTGAATGTGCAGCTGTGGTACGTGTTGTTGCCAGGCATGGTTCTAGTAGTCAATAGAGTGTATAGTCTGTCAGGCATTCCGCTCTATGCAAAAGCGGATAAAGTTTCCTAGAGGTGGCACCACAGCAAGTGGCGCCAGCTATGGAAGATTAAAAAAAAAACAAAGAAACTCATGATCTACGTCCTCATATATCGAAAGGGCCCATTGCCACTCGCTAAGCCTATAGCATCGATTGTTTGAGTATGGCTCTCGAAAACAGGTACGAATTGAGACGAATACTTTGCTGTTGAAGCTTAAGGACAGGAATCTAAAGCAAAATTACAAAGCACAGTCAGATCAGCATTTTCACGCTACATAGCACACGACAGTCACTTGATAGATTCGGGGCGGATGGCAACCACATTTAGTATAGTGGAACCACGTTTTACGGAGGTGCACGCTATCGCCTTGCCAGCGAAGCTTGGACAGCGCTTGCGGGGCCGGCAGGCATTCTATGGTACCGTGTCGTTACGGCAGGCTTGTCACTAGTGCAAACAGGCCATAAGAGTAAGTTTTTGTGCCGCAATGCCACAAAGGCCCTCTTCCCCAGTCATTCTTCTGGAGACCCCACTCCTCTTCCACCCCTCAGTTGCTGTTGAACATAAACAATTTATTGATTGATTTATTCAACTATTGGGTTCATGCAGGTGACGGCCGAGCCCTCGAACATCGAGTGCCTGTCCAACCGTGCCCTCTGGTGGTGGAAAGGGGTGCAGGCGTGTGGCAGCGCCGAAGCTCAGCGGTGGTGGCGGACTGGCTCAATAAGCCCCGAACCTCCAGCGCCAGGATTCGAGCCCCGGGACCCGCCAGAAGGGGGCATTGCGTCTGCGAGACCGTTCCATGGATGGTCGCACATATCAATACCGGGTGAGTGACGGTTTACCAAGTCTCTCTACATAGATATTAACATTGGCTTGTGCAGAGCGAAAAGAAACAGTCGTCATCAACTGGCATTCGTTCTATTCGTCCTTTTCTCATTCTCAGCCTCACTCTCTGCAGACGTGTACAGAATTGTCTGGCGTGGGATGCAATAACTCTGCCGAGTTAGAGAAATAGAAGAAACAGAGGGAAGAAAGAGAAAAAACAAAAACAAAGTGGAAACAAAATAATAGAGGACAGAAAAAAGACAAATACAAAACAACGAAGAAATTAAGAAAAAGAAAAAAAAAAGAATCAAACCTTGCCACCGCACTTCGCACTTTTAGGCTTGGCACCACTACTCTGAAGTGGCCTTTTTTATTTTTCTGAACCAACGAAGAAATTAAGAAAAAGAAAAAAAAAAGAATCAAACCTTGCCACCGCACTTCGCACTTTTAGGCTTGGCACCACTACTCTGAAGTGGCCTTTTTTATTTTTCTGAACTTCGAAGAAGTGTGGTTCAAGCACTGCGTTTTTCAGCACCATTTCTAGCATCTTGATTTCATATCCTTGTGTGACTACATTATCCTATTGTGCTTGCATCGGATTATAATATATTAATGCATCATGTTTTGTATATAGAGTTTCTTTTTATGGTAGTGCTTTTTGTTTAGTAAGGTTTTTTTGTTAATAACGATATGTGAAGTACTTACGCCGTCATTTATTTGTGCGCACCTCTTCATCGGCCACTCAACTCCTGAACCCATTTTGATGATTTAATGAGATGCTGGACTGGACGGGTAAGCCATGCTGGCTAACGATCCGTGTTATTTGGTAGCCACGTATCTTGTAGTCGTTCACAACGAAAGTTGACTCGACTTGAGAGAAAGGAAAAGATGTTCAGCCTGCACAAAACACGTAGTGCAGTCACAGTGAAAGCTGGGGAAGCAGCCTCTCTAGAACCTGTCGTAAACTCTCTTGGGGCAGTTACGGCAGGTACAGTTGTGAAACTACCCACTACGCCATGAATCGTCATAATTTTGCAAAGTATGAAAGTACTCACTATACCATCATCGATTTTTGTGGATAGAAGCGAGGTACCCGCTGCACAGCTGTAAGGCTAAGGCACTATGTGGAATTTCTCTGATACGACGACTGATGACGATTAAGAGTTAAGGCTCGGCCTTTGTACACTCAAACCTCGTTATAACGTAATGAGATATAACAAAATAATGGATATGATAAAGTAAATGAAGTACCCCTTCAAAGCTCCATTGAGAACCATGCCTTTTAAACATCGTTGTAACAAAGTAAAATTTACCGGTAAATGTATATAAGAGCTAAATTAGTCTATCAATAGCCTATTAAGAAATGACCATTTCGTGTTAAGTATAACGTTTTCTGTGGTGTTTGACACTCGTTCGACGTGACTCTTTCAAAACTCCCGCGCCGAGCTTACAACCACGTCACGCGCGGCCGAGAGAGCCGGCCTCCTTCCACAGCCAGCGGAGAGGATTGAGGAAACGCTCAGTCAGTCACATGACTGAGAAGCGGCTCCGCGGTGCAAAGCGATTTCCTCTTCACTTGAATGGACACTAAAGTCAAATTACAATTTACATCAAAGTGAAAGCTCTATGTATGACAACAATTAAAACGACAATATTGTTACCACATGTGTAATTTAGGTATGTGCACCTCTGTAGCGGGGAACATGGTGGTAGCAGAAGAAGAGGACGTTCGGTTCGTGGCAAGAGCTCGCTGCTTCGCGTTCACTGCGGTATACCGTCGAGTCGACCGTTACGTCTGCTTCGAATAAACCCCTCGTAGGCGTAACAGAGTGGTGGAGGTGCTGGGTACGACACGTCGACGTACCACGGAGCCACAGCTGTTCGGAGTTCGCCGGAGCCGTCGTCTTGCCGGTCTGCCGCCGACAACAGTCGTCATGACCCAGAGCGAAGGTCAGGAATCAACCGCCCACCGACCTTGCGGCTACTATTCGGGCAATTGTGCGTGAAGAGCTGCAGCGACAAGGTGGTAGGGTCGACGAAACCATTCCTCATCCACCTACCAATCCACCCTACTACACGGCGGCACCATCAGCTACTTTGCCTCACGGTATGTGTGGCAGACATCAGCGAAATTGGAAATCCGAGGCCACGTCGTGACTCATTCACGGCCGACCAGCGATATGGCCAACGCCTTGGGCGCGGCCCCGCCACACAGAGGTGGGCAGCCCCCGCTCAGCAAGCTCGTCACCGACCCTTCACAGCTGAGCGGTCTCAGCATTGGTTCAGCGAGCGTCCTCTACCAATCTGCTACAACTGTGGCTTCGAAGGACACATTGCCAGGTATTGCAACTACCGGCAGCCGCCAAGGTACGACCGATCGCCGAGATTTAACCGTTCAGGCCTTACCCGAGCACCGAGATTCCCGGGAAGCGCGTCTTACGAGATCCAAGGACCGCTACGAAACCAATCTCCGGCCTCTGACCGCAGTGTGACACCACCACCTGCCCCTCGTGCCAACCGATCACCGTCTCCTCGGCGCCGCCACTCCTCGCCTCTTACGGAAAACTAGCCGGCGCGGCCGTTGGAGGTGAGGTCGCCGGACATTCCTCGATTTCAACAGATATACCTCCGTTAGCTTCCATGCTTAGAAATAAGGTTCGAGTGCTTATCGATGGTGTACCGACGATGGCGTTGGTGGACACAGGTGCAAGCGTGTCAGTGATGAGTTTAGTTTTCACCCGCCTTCTTGGACGAAAGGTTATGTTTCGTTGGGATCGTCCTGATACGTTTCGTGGAGTGAGCGGAGAGGTGTTACAACCTGTTGGTGTCTGCACTGTGACTGTTAGTTTGGCATGCCAGAACTTCGTCGCGGAGTTTGCTGTTCTCCCTCATACTACGCACGACGTCATTCTGGGACTCGATTTCTTGAAGCTATGTGGGGCTACTGTTGATTGCCGCACAGGACAAATTACAGTAGATTCTGATATCCCAGTTTCGTTTATGGAAAACTCGCCCTCTCAAGAAAGTGCTCTTTGCGTGTCTGTGGACACAACTGTGCCGCCATTGTCTGCAAAATGTGTCCCTGTTGCCTGTTCACCTGCAAGCGAGAAAACGTTTGACGCAACTGTGGAGCCCGTGCATCTCAGTTGCATAAAGAAGACAGTTTTAATACCCTACTGTACATTATCGGTTGCGCAAGGGCATACTGGTTTATGGGCGATTAACTGCTCTAATGAACCTACAGTGCTGCCGAAGGGTCTGAAACTTGCAGAGATTCGTGAACACCAAGTATTGTCGCTTGCCACCCTCGCAGAAAGCAATGATTCCCCGGATAAGACCCGTTGCGATAATCTGCACGCCAGGGACGCCACCATTATGGCTATGATTGATAAGTCACTCAGCACCAAGGAACGTAATGAACTGGCGAGTATTCTGCGCAAACATGCTGGTATTTTTGATTTCGCACAGCAAGATTCACCGTCATTCCCTGCTTCTCGTATAAAGCACCGAATCGACACGACATCTCACACACCTCTCCGACAGAAACCATATCGTGTATCACCTTCCGAACGCGCAGTGATCAATGAACAGGTTTGCGAGATGCTCAAGCAAAATGTAATTCAAGAATCATGTAGTCCGTGGGCCGCTCCAGTAATTCTAGTGAAGAAGAAAGATGGGACATGGCGATTTTGTGTTGATTACCGCCGTCTCAACGCCATCACTAAAAAAGACGTATATCCACTCCCGCGGATTGATGATGCTATCGACTGTCTATCATCGGCCTCTTACTTTTCGTCTGTGGATCTGAGGTCAGGCTACTGGCAGATTCCAATGCACGAGGAAGACAAGGAGAAGACGGCATTTGTTACAACAGACGGACTATTTGAATTCAATGTGATGCCGTTCGGACTCTGCAACGCGCCCGCAACTTTTGAGCGATTTATGGACAACATTCTACGTGGATTGAAGTGGGAAGTGTGTATGTGTTACTTGGACGACGTTGTAATTTTTGGGCGCACCTTTTGTGAGCACAACACACGCCTTGGTCTCGTACTGGACTGTCTAAGCAAAGCACGCTTGGTGCTGAACTCAAAGAAATGTCGTTTTGGAGAGCGCCAAACACTCGTCCTTGGACACTTAGTAAACAAAGAAGGCATAAGACCGGATCCCGCCAAGACGGCCGCAGTGGAGGCATTTAAGCAGCCAAGCTCGCTGAAAGAACTGCGAAGCTTTTTGGGGCTTTGTTCATACTTTCGCCGATTCATTCCTGGCTTTGCCAATATCGCATACCCGCTCACGTGTCTGCTTCAGAAAGGTGCGCAGTTTGACTGGACCCCGGAATGCGAGTCTGCTTTTTCGGAGTTGAAGTTTCTTTTGACGTCCCATCCGATTCTTCGCCACTTCAATCCTCTCGCTCCCACTGAGATTCACACACACGCCAGTGGTATTGGTGTAGGTGCTGTCCTGGTTCAACGCTTGGATAATCAAGAACACGTCGTAGCGTATGCAAGTCGCTCGCTCAGCAAGTCCGAGCGTAACTACACTGTCACAGAGCAAGAATGCCTTGCAGTAGTCTTTGCAGTGCAGCGCTTCCGGTCCTACCTGTACGGACGCCCCTTTACCGTCGTGACAGACCATCATTCTCTCTGCTGGTTGGTCAACCTGCGTGACCCATCTGGTCGGCTGGCGCGCTGGGCATTTCGTCTACAAGAATATGACTTCACGGTTTCCTATAAAAGCGGCCGACGTCACGCTGACGCAGATTGTCTTTCGCGACTGCCGCTTCCAACGATTGAATGCGACGCGGACACCTTCGATACCTACATTGCATCACTCGACCACCCATTTCCCGATAACAAGACCTTTAAGGATGAGCAACAAAGGGACAGCACCGTACAACAGCTTCTTGCGACCAAACCAAAATCATCGCCTACGCGCTTCTGCATCCGAGACGGGCTAGTGTACAAAAAGAGCTACACCAACACCGGCTCACGATATCTT